CACAAATACATCCTACTGTTGGACAGTCACGTGCAATCACAGTAATTATTATAGTAATAATTTCCGTTTGCTTAACAGCCGAGTTCGAACGCGACCAAGAAAACGCGAGCCTGCCAATCAAACGCCAATTAATAACCACGAAATATTTCAAACATCAGTACAAGAAAATTGGAGATTCCGTACAGTTCGGATGAAATATGCAATGCGCAAACACGAAATCCGGATTGGTGTAATTAAAATTTATTGATAATTACACCTAGACGTATGCACTAGATGGAGCGTATTCAGAAATTTATATGACGATGAGAATAAATCACGAATAGGTATGACAGATTACAATTAGCCGGCTTAATTAAACAGATACTTAGCAGGTATTGTACTGTATTTAATTAAATTATGTATAATAATCTGGACAGGAATTTGTTCCCAAAGTGAATTGTTGGCCGCATTAGACGACCACTTTTCAATCAAGAAAAACGAGCGACAGTTTGCTGGGATTTATCGCAAACTTCTTAATGAAACGTGCCGAATGAACGCAAAAAAAACAGTACCACAAAACCGATTTCCTTGAAGTGTAAAAGAAATATGAACGTATTAGGAAAAATTCAATATGTACTCAAGGAGAAATATCGCTAGGTCGGCATCTGGGGTTTACTTTATGTAAAATATCGGCGGATATAAATTACGTGGCAACTCGGGTTGCCAATAAAAAATTGCTTTATAAATGTCTGGAACGCAAAGAGAATGAATAATTTCGGTCCCGTATTAAAAGCGGGGTTTCGGCTTTTGGCGAATAAGTCATCGATCATCTGATAAACATCATTATCTTTGAAAGTTTCAAACCACGGAAAACTTGAAAAATTGACGGCGAAAAGACATGACCGAGTCCAATCTATATTGCGCAAATTTACCGGAAAACACTCGGTATTTGCCTTCAAAGTTGAACACAACTGAAGTTTGTTTAATTAATTATTTCTTAATAATTTTGAAATTTTTTGAAAATTTTGGATCAACTTTCATTAATAATTACAAATTTAAACCAATAATTTGGTGGCGTTATATAGATAACGTATTCTCCATTTACAGTCATGGCGAACAAAAACTTGATGAATTTTTATCGTATCTGAATAATAAAGAACCAACAATTAAATTCACTATTGATAAAGATCACCAAATTCCTTTTCTCGATACACTAATTTAGAAAAATTTAGACAATTTCGAAACCTTGGTCTATAGAAAACCTACTAATACTAACCGATATT